CACCATTGAGCCACATTCCCAGCCCTAGAAAATGGTTTTGAGTAGGTACATTGAATGTCTACACTGTGTCTGTGTGTGATCATTTCTTGTGCAGTGGGAGATTGGAAGTAGGTAAAGTCCTTGTGAGGGCACTGCACTCAAGAAAGCTGAACTGAGTCATTGTAGCATTAAGGAGGAAATTTGGCATAATCTGACAAAATTTATTGCTTGTGTGTCCCACAATGGCAGATGAAGCCCTATAGAGACCAGGGGATACAGATTCCACTGTCTCATATTGCACTATATGTGTTGTCTTGATTATTACCTTGGTTCATCCTAGCAGATGACAAGATGGCAGCCATGACACTAACAATCCATTGCTTAGATCTCAAGAATCCCATCTGCCTGAACCTCCTTGCATCATTTCTGCCTGCAGGCTACTGGTCAGAAGTAGACACCTTTCCCCACCTACATGAAAGGAAGCTGGGAGATAGGAGAGCAAATGGAATATACAGTTATTTCAATAAGGACTTGTATGGGGTAGTTCTCTGCTTTTCTTTTTCCTTCCTTCCTCCCTCTCTCCCTTCCTCCCTCCCTCCCTCCCTCCCCTCCCTCACTTCCTTCCTGTCTCTGTAGTCTGGAACTTGAAATCCTGCCTTAGTCTCCCAAGTGCTAGGATTACAAGAGTGTACTGCCATACCTGGCAAATTGCTTTATTTCTGAGTTTATTTCCTCACCTATAAGATAGAGATAGCAGAAACATCCCTCTTTGTGGGTATCTGTGAAGATTAAATGGTATGACAACTGGAAATTACTTAATGTGTCTTAACACATAGGGAAACTTCAAGCCTGGTCTTGAGATTTTCTAAACTGTAGGTCATTTCTCCTTGGAGGGTCATAACCAACAGCTGAAAACAAACTAGAAAAGGAAATAATCAGAGCACATCACAGGGAAGAGTCAGTCAGTATTGTGTCATGAAAGCATCTCTCCAACCCCAGAATCCATTTCTTGTTGCAGGTTGCAGTTTAAGTTTGAAAGCTTCTACCCCTTTCAAGCTCTCCTCCTCAGAGGCTTAGGGACATTGTTGCCCCAAATAAAATACCACTCTTGTTTGAAAGAGTCTTTGTTTAAAGACAGTCTCAGATTGTGTAGCTCAGGCTACCCTGTAACTTGCTATTATAGCCTGCTGGTCCTGAATGTACAAAGATCCACCTCTCTGCTAGGGTTTAAGGCAGGTACCACCATACCCAGCTTGTTAGTCTTATTTTAAGAAACAGTAAAACACAGGTCCTTTGGCCAGTTGCTTAGAACTCATGCCTCAGTCTTCTCATCTGTGAAGCAGTGAGAATAATACCCAAGGTACTAGTGTTAGTGTTATATCATTGTTTAGTTGTGTGTGAAATGTTTTACAAACAGTGCTTGGTACATAGTGAACTTTAGGGAAGTATTTGTGGACTGTTTGGGAGAGTAGAGTCACAGATATGAAGACAGATTGTGCAGTGTACAGATTACATAGTGGGACTTATTTTTTTCCTTTTTTTCTGTAGTTGCTCTCCTTTTTAAATTTTAGTTAGCATGGGAGGTAATAGGTTTCATTATGGCAATTTCATACATATATGTCATTTTATGCTATGTTCTTATTTATCTCCTTCTTAATTGCTCTCTTTCCCTCACCCCCTTCTCTTGTTGATCCTCTGTTTCCTCCCAACTAGTCCTCCTTTGGCTTTTATGTCACATGTGTGAATACATTTCCAACAAAGACATTCTCCCCCCACACACTGCTTCCCCTCTCCAGCTCCCTCAGAGTCTCTGTTGGATTCTTTAGGAGCCTATCCTTGGGTATCAGCTGACCCTGTTCATGTACTACACATACTTCTTTCCTTCTTGGGGCTTGCAGTCAAGTCTAAGACATTGTCACCAAGACAGAAGCATCCTTTTTCTTCTACGTACTAGGTATGACCTGTTTTTATTTTGGACAGGATCTCTCCACATAGTCCTGGCTGTCCTGGAACTTGCCACATAGACTAGTCTGACCTCAAACTCATAGAGATCTTTCTGCCTCTGCCTCTTAAGTGCTGGACTATTTATGTTTGACTGTCATGAACCATGAATTCCATGGAAATAAATCATGTAAATTTCATTCATCCCTGCATGTGTAATATACATAATTATGCATCTGCTAGTAAGATGTCATATTACATCCTTAGAAATTCAGTCAGGAAAAACTTACTTAGGGTGGGAGGGATGTGATGACTTTTTTTAAGTTGTAAGGTTGATTTTTCTTGCTGAATAGTTAATGTCAGCAAGCTGATACACAGTGAGACCAATCACTGTGCCTTTGCTCAGCTGTGGCAGATAATGAGCCTTCTGTTTGATAAGCCCATTGGCAATACTGAGTCACCTGGGATGAATAGAAGTTAATCCTGCTGCCTCACAGAATGGATTTGTTATGTAATTTATGGTATCCACAAACCCTTTGGGAGGTCTTTATTACCATGATGGTGTCTTTCTGGGCCTTCTGTTGTTCTCTACCAGTTCTGCCAGAGTGATTCTCATACCTGAAGAGCTAGCAGCTTGATGTAAAAAGCCCGCATTTGGCTTTTGTTTTGACATAAGGTGTGTTGATGAAGAATAGGTAGAACCAGGAAATAAAAAAGTTGATGATTGAAGTTTAGAAGATACCCTCCTCCCATTATACTGACTTAATTTCTGAAAAATGAGTCATATTCAGAGTTTGAAACATTTCTTTTTTGACTAGATTTATTAATGTTTTTTGTCTTTTAAGTTGCTGCTGAGATTCCTTTGTATCAGTTCTGCCACTGCAGACAACAAAAGAATGAGTGTCAGTTTGGTTTTCCAGCACCCCACATGGTAGACTTAATTCTGCCACTGGTCGATATGCACTGTCAAATAAGCCTTATTGTTTGCCTACTCACTGAGGAGCCAGTGGTGGTGTGACCTCCTCCCCAGCTACCAGCACTTAAACTTGAAATACTTGGAATTTTCAATGTATTGTGTTAAAACAAACTTCTAATTCGGGCTATTTTTCTTTGCAACTTTAGGCCTAAATTTGGAAGCTCTATTTTTATACAACATCTAGAAAAGTCACCAGTGTTGCTATTCTCTCGCTACCCCAAATATCCTAAGTGCGCCTGGGGGTGGGGAGAGTAAGAGCCTGCTGTTTCACATGGCTAAGCAGAATATGTGGGCCTGCCTGCCAGCCAGTGGAGGTGGAATCTGCTCTTTGCTTTTTGGCAAGTATGTCTGGCTTTGGAAGCTTTGTTTAGGACTTTAGTTCGTGGTCTTTTCTTGCTGCCATATGCAGCATAGCTCATTGTCTCGAGGCCCAAAGAGGTAGAGCTCTATTGCCCTCATCGCTTACTGTCTTTGACAAGGTACATGTGTTAGTAAGATAAATCAAAAGCCACTCTGATCAGGTTAAAAAAATTTATTATTATTTTATTTATTTAATTTTGGAGATAAAAGCCTCTCTTTGTATCCCTGATTGTCCTTGAACTCACTGAGATCCACCTGCCTCTCTGTACATCAAGCAGTTTTTGTGAATAGCATAGTGGCACTGTAAAAGTTGAATCCTTATTAAAATAAGTATATTTTCAAATAAGTATACTTTCAAAACAAGGGTCTTGGTCCCAAACTTCTTTAAATAAGATATTTTCACATATTAGCTGGGGAGGCTAGCTAGCCCCTGAACGTTTCCACCAGGTCTTCCTAGAGTATTGTGAGATTGTGGCTTCAGTTGACCTTTGGGCTTGCACCTTTGGTAAAAGAAGAGGTGGGAATAATTTCTGTGAATAATGTGACACCCTTCCCTCCTCTGGAGGAGTGAGGTATGGATCAGAAGAGATATGTAGAACCCCATGTTTTCAGTCTCAAAATCTGTATTTTACTATAGGAGGTGAAAATTAGCTTAAGTGAAGTGTGATGGAGCCATATTACTACTGGTTAAGAAGCTATTTGTATCACATTGTTTGAGAAACTGATGAGGAGGGGAATAATTGGAACAATAAGACAACTCCCCCCTTTTTTCCTAAGTGCTGGGAGTGGAGAAGGGGTCTCAAAGAAATCTGACCTTAAGAACAAGTTCTTGAGAAGTCAAATTGAGTTCTGTCCACAGGATTCAGTTTCCTTTGCTGTTTAACATCATTTTGTCAGAATTGGTATAAATACTATTTGTTGGGCATAATTGTGCTAGGGCAAAAGCTAAGCATGCCTGATTCATGAGTTAGTGCAGTAAAATGTAAGATTTGGGCATGGTGACCACTCATTATTAGTTACTATTCTGTTGCTGTGAGTAGATATCATAATCAAGGCAACTTAAGAAAGCATTTAAGGCCAGGCGTTGGTGGCACACGCCTTTAATCCTAGCACTCGGGAGGCAGAGGCAGGCAGATCTCTGAGTTCGAGGCCAGCCTGGTCTACAGATTGAGTTCCAGGGAAAGAAAGAGAGAAAAAGCATTTAACTGGGGACTTGCTTAGAGAGTTAGTTTCTGATCATGACCAGGGAGCATAGTGGCAGGCAGGTATGTTGCTGGAGAAGTAGCTGAGAGCTCACATCTGATATGTAAATTATAGACAGAGATAAGAGACTGGGCCTGGTGTAGGTTTTCAAAGCCTCAAAGCCCACTCCCAGTGATATACCTTCTTCAACAAGGTCAAACTTCCTAAACATTCCTCAATAACTCATCAACTGGAGACCAAGTATTCAAACATATAAGTCTATGGGGGAAATTCTTATTCAAACCACTACATTATCAACAGTTCATCAGCAGGTACATAGCAAACAAATACTTGCTGTGTATTTAAGAATTGAGGAACACAGGTAAAATTTGTGCTGTTTGGAGGATCAAACAAATCTACAAATGAGGTCAGCCTGGACTCTTAATTATGTATGAAATAAAACCAAAAAAAAAAAAAACAAGGCAGCTGGGTATTGTGGCATATGCTTTTAATTCCAACAATTGGGAGGCAGAGAAAGGCTAATCTCTTGAGTTTCCGGCTAGCCAAGGCTACATCATAATACTCAAAGCAAAACAAAACAAAAACAAGGCAAAACAAATGAAAATCCACACTATCAAAATGAAGAAAACCAAGACAAGACAAACAAAAGTGTTTAGATTAGAGTACAGTGACACATAGATTGGTTGAATCCATCTCAGTATTTGAACTGAGACACATCTGGTATGAAATGAAATATTGATTTTTTTTCCAAACTTAAGGTGAGAACATGAGGTGCAAGGTGTCCATGGAGATGTGTAAGCTCAGTTATTTTTCTATTTATATGTATATAGCTTTCTGCCTGCATGTATCTATGCAAGCCAGAAGAGTGCACCAGATCTCATTACAGATGGTTGTGAGCCACCATGTGTTCACTGGGAATTGAACTCAGGACATCTGGAAGAGCAGAGCCATCTCTCCAGCCCAGGTCATTTATTTTTCATACAAAGCATGGCCTGTTCTTTCAAGAAGGCACAGGTAGGGCTTCAAAGTAAAGGGATTGGACATGGTTCTTGAAGTACATGCAAAACTGATGTCAGTTTAGAAAGTTGCATGCAACTCATTGAACCCTCTGTTACTAGGGATGTACAAAATGTGTGTGTACTCATATATACAATTTATTCTGGGCCCATAGCTGCCCTCGGGTTGTCCAACATACTGATGACCAGAAGAAAGAGCTGTTGGTTCTACTGCTTTGCTTTGGAGTTTTCTCATGTTGGATTTTCTTAAAATAGGGCCTGTCAGGGCAACTAAAATAGACAGCATTGCATTGACCCTTAGGTGATGATGATTTGGGCAAGAAATCTGAGTAGCCCTCTTTTTGATTTTGTTGTTGTTTGAGACAGGGACTCACTATGTAGTCTTGGCTAGCCCCAAACTCACAGAGATTCACCTCTGTCTCCTGAGTGCTGGGATTAAAAGCATGTTCTACCATGTCCAGCAAGAGATATCTTACTTTGCAAAGCCTGAAGTACCATGTTGCTTGTTGCTTTCTATCATATGTTGGACTCTCTTGATTTAAGTATCCATTTATCTCTAAGCATATTAATGTATCCATGTGCCATATAAGCATTTGTGAAAATAGCTGTTAATAAAGCAAAACAGTGTGTGTGTGTGTGTGTGTGCGTATACATGTATGTATATATATATATGTATGTTTGTGTATGTATACATACACAGGTGGTTATAAATAACCCATTGTGTGTGTGTGTACACATATATACGTAGATTTCCTGAATTCTTCCTAAATTGACTCTTGGAACTTAAAGGGAAATTGTTTGGGTGATAGAAATTGAAACCAAGAATCTGGTCCTGTCTGGTTTTTCAGTTTCATAGGATGTGGTTTAGATTGATCTGGAAGAAGATTAGCTATGTGTATAAAGACTTCCAGGAGAGTTTGCTTTACATCCCATCACATAATGCTTGAATGTTAGGAGGGCTTCTTCCTTGGGAACATGAAGGTGGTAGAAATGTTTCTTCAATAGAAGGCAGGAGTAACTGTGTATTTAGAGCAGAGCTAAGATAGTTCTTTTAGCTTGTTAGTCATACCATCTTATATAAATAGTACCCTAATGGCTCACCTAGTTGTAATGGAATTTGTCAGCTTTCATGGGCCAGGGATCATTGCTCCTGTTGTTCAGCTGAGAGTACCCATGACGTATTGGGTTGAAATTGTGGCCCTGTAAGCTGGTCTAGGAACACAAATCAGGAAGTCTAAGCATTGGATCTTCTTTTCTGTGCTGCTTAAATAGGAGATCTGAGAAGCATCAATTGTCTTTTTAAGAACTCTTTCAGTTCTGACATCTAGAGGATGTAAAAGGGAATTTATTGATAGACGTATTCATGAAGGTTAGTCTTTGATCTCCATTCTTGAAGCTAATGGATTCTAGATGTAAATGATGTCTTCAAAACCCAGTTTGTAATTTCTCAGTATTGCTTTCCACCTAAGAATTTTATTCTTGAGTTCTATATGCATTAGATTTGAAACTCACCTGGTAAAGAGAGTTTGTTTAATCTTCACATCTACACCTTCTTCAGTAGATGTTTTACTTCTCCTTGTGGCTGTGGCATGGTGACCATTTTCAGTGGTTGGCTTGGTACCTGTGTACCCCTGGTAACAATTATTGAAGCCAGGAATGTATAAGTTAGTGATGGGCCTAACTCACATGTTCCATTATGAATCTGAACACACTATGCACATACACACAGTCTTAAACCAGGAGTTGGGTTGGGGGACTACTTGGTGAAGCTTGGGCATTTATCTGATAAAGGGGCTAGATGGAGGGAATCATACAGAGTTTTGTTACATTTTTTAATGTCCTTTGATTCAGTCTATAGCTCACAAGCCCCTATGACAGGTCTATGGGGTAAATGCAGCCCATTTGCTGCTTCCAAGGCTCCACAGCCCCATGTGCAGATGAGTCACTCTGGCTCTGGTTAGTCTAAAAGCCAGATTCTCAGCCCAGTGCTAAGAGAATGAGGACACATTAGACTTTCAGATGGAGGGTGAAAAGGGTAAGGTTTGTCTAATACTTAAAAAACTACATTGAGGAAATTCAGATGAAATTAAAAGATGATTATTTGATGAACTTCCTGTTTCTTGTTCCATCTAACAACTCTCTTAAGTCCTTGTGCTTACAGAAAAGCTGACGCTTCTTTACTTGCTGCCTGGATATTTTTCTTCAAATATAACGTCTTCCATGCTTTTGGCAAAGTTTTTTTCTTTTTTTCTTTTTTAAGGAAAATTGAATTAGTTGGCAAATACAGTATACTGAAAGTATGTGTCCATTGCTAAAGTAAATTTTATATAAAATGTTTCTGCATACTCTTTGATCTATTAATTTCCCATCTTAGGATTTATTCTCAGGAAATAACTATTAATATTCTAATTTTAACTTCATTTTCCTGTCTGTTGCACATTAGCAGTCAGCCTCCATCATGGACTTCTAGGGAGAAGTTGGTGTGTGTGGTCTTATAATGGATTTAGATTTTCTTTATGAACAGTGAGCTACCATTGGGAAATTGATCAGTACCATGTGATGGACTTGAGGCTTACTTAGAAACCACATGACTCTAGAAACCACAGCTGTATATTTGTGATCATTCAAGTATTCCTTTAAGGCATTTGTAGGCAGTCATTTATCATTTTCTGTGTCAGGTTCTTTCCTCATCTTTTGACTCATTTCACAATTTCCTTTCTTTCCTTTTACTAAATGCAAAAATTTAATCTCATCTTCAGTTAACTACTTTTCAGCTGAATTCCTTAGAAGGTGACCAGAAAATGAACAGTTTGTGTGTGGAAATTGGATGTTTGAGGACTAATTAGCTATGATCTGCTAACCTCCTGGATGGCAGAGAATTAATGTCTAAAGAGCAGTCCGCCTTCAGTGAGGTACTGTAGTTCCACTCCACGCTAGGAAGCAAACTGCATACATAGAGCCAGAGTGTAGCAGGCATGCCATGCTCATTACAGTACCAGGAAGTACAAACCCAAAGCAGCCTTTAAACAGGGAATGTCATTGGGAAAGCAGAGGATTAGTGTGGAGGGACTGATGACAAAGGAATGACTGTTACAGTTGTCCCCTTAGGCTCATCCATTTGAATATTTGGTCCCCAGCAGGTGGCACTGAATAGGAGGTTGTGCAACCTTTGGGACTGGTCTCTCCAGCAAATGGTGGTCCCTGGGGGCAAGGCTTGAAGGTGATATGTGGCTCTGGATTCCAGTCTAACCTGGTGCCTCATCTGCCAAAATGTGAGGACTGTGGCCTCACACTCCTGCTGCAGTGGTGGACTATATCTTCTGGAACAGCCAAAATAAATCTTCCACTAAGTTCTCTCTTTAGGTATTTGGTAGCACCAACTAGAAAAGTAACTAATACAGTGGCCAACCTAGAATAAAAATACATGGCCTCCCTAATTATGCCTCCTTTGCACATATGGGGGTAGTTGGACCTACCTGCTTTAGAACAGTTGTGATAGGGGAAAGAAACAAAAAACCCAGTTGTGAGCCAGTGACATGAGAAGGCCCAGTTATGGTTATTCTGGGTAAATATGCAGCTCAGTTCTAAAGCATAGAACGCTTCATTATTTCCTTTTGGAAAGTTTATGTGGTGTGTGTCTGTGTTGGCTTGCTTGTATTTGGCAAGTAGCCCGCAGACTAACCAGCAACAGTGGTTTTAGTCCTCAGGCCTTAAATAGATAAATAGTCTCAGTAGTATCTAGTCATGGACTGACTAACTAAGAGATGGATTCTGAAGTGAGTTTGTCATTGTGTGGATGCCATTGAATGTCCTTACACATAAGTCATTCACTGCATGTGATATCTTGATGCAGTCAGGGAGATGGTACATGTAACATGTATGTGTTTATTGCCAGCCACACAGCCTGCTGTTTTCCAGTAACCTCTTAACAATAAAAAGGTAGCATTGTAAATACATAGCCCAGTAATGTAACCTTTTTATTAAATGTTACATGCTATACATAATTGTATGTGCTGGGCTGAGCAGTGGTGGTGCACACCTTTGATCCCAGCACTCGGGAGGCAGAGACAGGCAGATCTCTGTAAGTTTTTGAGGCCAGCCTGGTCTACAGAGCAATTTCCAGGACAGGCTCCAAAAGCTACAGAGAAACCCTGTCTTGGGGGAAAAAAAAAAAAACAAAAAACAAAAAACAGCTTGCAGTATAGGGTACTTCTCTGTGCCAACATCATTATGAATAAGTGAGCACTTTCTTCACTGCACTGAGTGGTTAGGGTTGCCTAAAAACTGTACTATGATCTTATGGAACCACCACTGTGACCATTGTCCATTACTGATGAAAACATCATTATAGAGTGTACAGTTGTATTTCAAGTGTGACACCTAAAGGCCAGTGACAAACTAATAAAAATAACTGACTTTGTGCCAAGCTGGATGGTGTTAGTCATGTGACCCAAGGTTACTTCTTAGAAATGCAACTAGTATGTATATTTCCTTTTCTTTCTTTTTTTGTTTTTTTGTTTTGTTTTGTTTTTTTCGAGACAGGGTTTCTCTGTATTGCTTTGGAGGCTGTCCTGGAACTCGCTTTGTAGGCCAGGCTGGTCTCAAACTCACAGAGATCTGCCTGCCTCTGCCTCCCGAGTGCTGGGATTAAAAGCGTGCACCACCAACGCCTGGCGTATATTTTCTTTTAAAAATATTCTTTGTTTCCTTCCTTCATGCCTCTTTCCTTTTGCACTTTTGAGGTTGGTTGATGTAGCAAGTCCTACTCAACCCTAACTAGAGTTGCATTTTTAGTTTGCTAGAATAGGGCATTTTAAAACAAAGACACCTTTAAAAGCATGAACATAGAAACAAACAGGGTTTTGTTTGCTTTGGTGCAGGAACCTGCTTTCCCCACTTAGTAGCTCTCTGGTAAGACCTAATCTTTGAAGGTAATCTTCCTTCAAGCCCCAGTTCCAAGTTAGAGGAGCGACTTTCCTCATTGTCTCTGCAAGTTTCTAGAAGTCATTTACAATTGGAAGTGTCCACTTGCCAATCTGTTTTGGAAAGGTCACTCAGAACCTGTAGCTACCAAGTGGGACTAGGAGTCTGTCCCTTGTAGCCTCTGACTGCTGTAGAAAAACTGAAGATTTCATGCACTCATGTTCTGTTCTTCAGTGTCTGACATATTCAGTGAGAAGTAAGACCATGGACCCAGCTAGCTCCACAAACTCTTTAGATAGAAGTTCGAAACATGAATTTCATATTGCTTTTATTTGGGATGCCAGTGTGTTTTGATAGCTTCTTGCTGCAGAATAGACTAACTCTAGATGGTAACAAAATGAAGAGCATTGTTCCTTCCGTCAAGGCAGTCTTACAGCAGATCTCACACACCTTGCTGATACTATTTTTTTTTTTTTTTGGTATGTATTCACCTCATGTATTTTAGCTCCTCATTTCATAGGCAGCACCCTATCAGCAGCCAATACTTCCTCTGATCAGGCTTTCTGACCCAGTCAGCTACATCAAAGAGACAGTTTGCCCTGGGCTGCTTACCCCAAGAGTCAAACCAACATGAAGAAAGGGAAGGCTGCAAACTCCAGCCCCAGAATATTATACATTAAAAAGACAATTCTAGACCCCTTGTTTGGATGTGGAGTCACAGAAACTCAGAGAGGCCACATGATTTGTTGAAGGGACACACTGTTTATGGCAGTTCCTGATGAAACTCCAAAGTGTCCTCAGAATTTACTCTACATATAGACTCAACCTCTGGAATACACTCAGGTGTTGATAAAGAACATTTTCTTCTTGGGACATTGTTATCTTAGTCTGGCATGCCTTGGCACACATCATATCAGAGAAAAGTAAGCAAGACCAGCAAGCCAGAGATCAGGATAGTGATCCAAGAGTGTGGAGTCAGACTGGTTATCTCAAGCCGATCTCTGAATTTTATTTACTTCTTTCTTTTATAACATGAAGAAAATACTATATAACGTACAGAGATGTAATGAGTTAAATGTAATAGATCACATCATTCTCAATGAATACATGTAGTGTTTTTTATAAGTGCGAATGCTATATATGTGCATGTGTAAAAGTCAGAGGTCAGTGTCAGGTGTCATTCTCCACCATATTTTCTGAGATAAGATCTATCACTGAACTGGGAGCTTATTGATTCACTTAGACTGGCTTGGCCTGGAAGCCCCAGGAAGCTTCTCTGTCTTTAGCTCTCAGCACTGGGGTTAGACATGGACTACCATGCCCAGCTTTTACTTGGGTGCTGGGGATCCAAACTAAAGTCCTTGTGATTTTATGACTGGCACTTTACTGATGGGCCAGTCTCCCCAGCTCCCTGTAATGATTTTTAAAGTATAGTTACTATGTGTTGATTACACAGACCAATCATATTGATCTTCTCTCTTTCTGTTTCCTCCCTATTGTCCTTAAGAACCCAAACAAGACCTTCCACTCTGTGAAGTCTTTGCAGTGAAGTTTGGCAGATTAGTTTTATTTTTGTGTAGCAATTAAGAAACCTTAGTTTCCTAATATAAAAGCTAAAGCAATTTACTACTTAGTTATAAGTACAACTGTAGCCCCAGGTCCATAGTTATTATGAGTCCCTCTCAAGTTTTCTTTACAGTTCTCTTATTTCCCCCTTTTTCCTGTCTCCATTTGGGCCATGTCTCAGTGTGGGTTGGTCCTCCACTATGGGTCAGCTCAACATTCAAGAGTAAGCCACTTGAAGACAGGCTTGCCTGGTTGTTACCTTATGGAACTACTAAAGAGTAGGTGCTGTTGGAGCTAGAGCACCTCCAGGGACCCCTGGTCTCTAAGGACTGCCCTTGGGGCCTACCAGTATCTGAGGCTGGGCTGAGCTGAGCTGGGCAGGCAGCCAAGCTTCTCCTCAGGAACAGCAGCCAGGGCTGGTACAGAGGAAGGAGGTTTCTGGAGGTTGATGTGCAGAGAAAGGAGGCAGGGAGTCAGAAACAGCTGGAGCTAAGGTTGAAGGAGAAAAGCTGGGTACTGATCCTGACCCAGTGTAAGCTGAAACAAGTTCCTGTCTGGCAAATAAATGTCAGACTTAGAGTAGGTTTCGCAGGCAGTGTAGGTGCGAGTAGTTCCACTTCCCCACTTTCTCCCAGTCCTTCTCCCACCTCTCCTTGTCCTTGGCTCTATTTGACCCATTTGCGCCGTATAGCTAAAGCAGGAGAACAGTCACTTATGAGAACTGGGCTGGCTACTGAAGAACTCTTCCTGTGGTAAAGGAAGCTTGAGTCTGCCAATGACTTTGTGATAGCAGTAATAATAATGATTACACAGAGAGGCGGACACTTCATTGAATGCTTCTATGCACCAAATACATGCATTTGCTCATTTCCTCCTTCTCAACAGTCCTCTGAGTGCAGTGGGATGAGCTGTTGACAGGTTTGGTTAATAGATGCCATCACTGTGATTTACTCAACCTCTCAATTACTGTACGCTTTCCCTAGGTAGGCTCCTTGACCTCGGTGTGCTGCCATTTAATTTCCTGGAACTCGGGAAGAGTTATTTTACAGAGCTACATTTCTATATGGCTGTTACAATACACTAGCAAATAGAAATTGATATTCATTACTAATAATTGTGTTGTTTTTGGAAACGTGGCACTGGCGTGTCTAGATTGTGCAGAAGCTGTCAGCAGGTGGCAGTGGGAAAGAGGAGAGCCACCTGGGAAGATAACCTCCATTAACAGTGTAATTGCCTTAAAAGCTAGAGATCCTGTCTCTACAGACTTGCCAAAGTGGTTGAAAGAGGAAAGGGAAAGCCTGCCTCAGGTTAGGAACAGGGTATGCCTAACAATTTCAAGTACTCACACAGGCACAGCTTGATTTTATTGAGGATCAATCCCAAGGAAATCACTTCCTGTCGAGAGCCTGATTCTCCATGTGTTGGAGTGTTGTGGTATGAACCTGTTTTTGTTTTTTGGGACTGGCTCTCACTATGTAGATCAGGCTGGCCTTGAAATCACAGAGATCCACCTGTCTCTGCTTTTCAAGTGCTGGGATTAAACACATGCATTACTGTGTCTGGCCTTTTATTACTATTGTTAATATTTTAAAATTGTGTGTATGTGTGCTCATGTGCCCTGGCTTGTGTGTGGCAGTCTGGGACAACTTTCAGAATCTGTCCTCCCCTTCTACCCATATAGGTCTTAGAGATTGATATCAGATTGTCCCTAACCTGGTGGCAGGCACCTTTAACAAGGAGCCGTCTCAACAGCACTTGTGAGTGTTTTTTAGAAGGATGTGAGCTAATGACTTTTAAGGTAGGGATAGCTATATGTATCAGGTATTATTATGTATGTTTCTTGACTATGTACAGTAACCATGTGGGTAGGTTTGGGAAATTCAGTCACAGAGCTAGGCTTCAGTTTCATGGCTGTGGCTTTCACCACACTGATGTGGTGGAGCAGGTCTAGGGCAAGTGGACCATTTCTAACATATCTCCTCCCTTCCTGGGGATGGGGAGCTTTGAACCCAAGGGCATTATACTTCTTGGAATCATGGCAGCTGGACTGGTCTTGCCCTGGGGAGAGCAGTGCTAAGGATGTCTTTGATCATGCACGCAGACAGTGTGGTGTTCTTTCTGGCGGCTGACGGTTAAAATCTGCAATTCTGTGGTTGCTGAATTGTTGCTCCTTAATATTACTCACTGTACTAACCCATGATCCTTTGCCAGATGTGGGCTCAGTTGTACAGTTCATGGTTTCTTGAACTAAACATTCCAGGCTCTGTTTGTTCTGTGATGTTAGCTAAATTTACTGAATGTATGCAGAGCCTCAGTTTCCCTGTTTTCAATGAGGTTGTGGTGAAGGGCACATGAGCTAATAATGTTCTTTAAGTGCTTAGTTAATATAGAGCTTGGCTGTCTATCAAATGCTCAACTATTGGCTGCTGTTAGCCAATAGTCAGTGAGACCTTCAGCTTTGAAAGACTGAAGAAGGTTCTACCACCCTCTTGAACACAGGGCTGGTTGCTGTGACTGGGCCTGGAGAAGCCCAGAGAAAAGAGAGAGAAATCAAAGAGCGATCCAGGAGCAGTACTCACCAGCAGACAAGAAAATACTGGCTCTCACTTGAGCCCACTATTCCATCCCACTAGAATGGAAACCTTTCAAAGAAAGGAACTATGATGGAAGAAAGCAGACCTTCTGTCACTGGGTGATTGATCATCTGTCGACATTGATTTCCCCCTCTTTTTCTCATCTGTTGAGCATGTTAAAAGCCTTCAGGTTTCAACTGGTTCCACTGTATCAGGTCATCAAAAGATGCTTTTACATGGAGATCCAGCAGAGTAAATGGGATTTAGGCCTCTATGTGAGCCCCATCTGTTCTGTCCTTACCTTTAGGCCTTGGTGCCAGGCTTTGGAGGGAGCTGCTGTACAGAAGCATCTGTCCAATGAGGGCGGGGTGAGTGGCCTGGGTAGGTGGGTCAGATGGAGGGCAGGAAATCCTCTTATTGCTCCTGGTGCTGGGCCTCCAGCAGGAGCTGAGCAGCAAACACTGGTGAGTCAGCGAGCCTGGGAATTAGAGTTGCCAGTCTGTGAGCATGTGGGGTTTGTGTAAGTTTGGGCCTTTTGTTTCTTTCAGCAATCCAGTCTTTAGAAACACAAATCTGGAAACCAGACCCTCCACATGCTACAGTCCTTCTTGTTTGGAGAGAATTCTGCTGGAACAGTCGCTTCTCTTATATGATGGTCTTCCAAGAATTAACCTCTCATGCCTTTTGAAATTTGACTTATTACATGCCCAAAGTATTAACAGCCTGTGAGAAACCATGCCTGGGTGCCTGGGTCTGTCACTTTTCACAGTCAAAGCACTTTTAAGGGTTTCTTCGTGTGTGTGTGTGTGTGTGTGTGTGTGTGTGTGTGTGTGTGTGTGTGTGTGTTAAAGCACATTGAAATTGCAGTTCTTTAGAGGGCATGTGTAGACATGTCTTTTGTCTCTGAGGGTGGAGAATAGGACACACCCTGATAGGAGTCTGCCTTAACTACAGGAATGGTTCTGGTTCCTTCTAGGTGACTACACTCACTGCTTCCTTTTAGAGATAATTCCTCTTGAAGGTAACTCCCAGTTTATCTAAGCACTATTTGGTAGAAGCCGTTTTGTTTTTATTTTTTCAGCCTTTCTGAACAACTGCCCTTTGCCCCATTACCAGACTCTTAAGAGCTCTGAACTTGTACTACGAAGATCCATGGAAGCTCCTTAGAAGTAGGAGGCCCATGGTGGACTGACAGTGATTTTTGTCTGGTGTCTGCTTTTCTTGGTACACTTCTGGCTTCTGATCCACGTACTAACAATGTAGTTGTAGCAGTATTTTGCAAGCACTAAATTGTAAATGAATTTTCTATTATAGCAAACTAGTTGAAGATTAAGAACAAGTCCTGAGAGGATTGTATTAGAGAAGTAGCTTCTGCTTTTGCCACAGATTTCTAGCAGTTCATATAAAAATTAAGTTACAACAAATAGTATGCACAGTGAAGAATTTTCTCCATGTCAGTGTAGCCATTTGATTTGGCAGTTCTATGTCTTAGAGATTGTATTGGGTGTGGAGACACAACTAGGTTGGGAAAGTACCTGGAGTACAGGCCCCATATAGGTGGGTGGGGCAGGGTGGAGCTAGGACAGTACACCTGTGTGAATCCAAAGAGATCAGACACATGGAGTTTTGACATTGTGACTCTTTTTTTTTTTTTTTTTTTTTTTTTTTTTGGTTTTTACGAGACAGGGTTTCTCTGTATTGTTTTGGAGGCCCAGCCCGGCCTCGAACTCACAGAGATCCGCCTGCCTCTGCCTCCCGAGTGCTGGGATTAATAAAGGCGTGCGCCACCACCGCCCGGCGACATTGTGACTCTTTACCTCATCATTAGATCATTATGAGATTACAGGTGCTCGAATATGGCCTCTTCTCCCTATTCCACCAGAACCCAGCCTAACAAATGAAACAATGGATTTACTGGATTTACTTAAAGAGCCCAGGTGAGGGCTTACTTTCATGAGCATGAGTGACTTTAAAGTAGCTACAGCACCTTAGGTTCGAGGACTTCATGGAAGCTTCATCATGGAGTTTTGCTTTCAGTTAATTTTCCACTTCTTATATACACTAGCATCTGAGGGAGAGCAAGAAGGAATGGCAGTTGTGAGGTGAGGCTCCTTTAACTCTCCTTGACTCCTACTGAGGAGTGTCACCAACTCCATCCATTATCATTATCATAGACTTAGCTACTTCTGTATTTTTCTGCTCAATTAGTTGCCATGGCTACCAGGCCAAGGTAATTTATACTCCAAGGTGTTGCTGTGTTATGCTTGGAGGAAAAGACCTACTGTAACAATCTTTGTTAAAATCTGAACTTGTAGGTTATTAGGTGTAGAACTTCTGGCTTAACTCAGATCTACATAACTTTCTTAGTGAAGGCAAAAGTTGACGAGACAGATTTCCCCTGGAACACTGTCAGACTCTAGTCTTTGATGTGTCCTGCAAATGATTGGCCTCTTGTAAGTGCTACCTTAATGATTCTGAGAATTTCTTATGCTGGTTTTCCATATATCCCTTAGCCACCATTTCCAAGGGTAAGCCACAGAGATGACTTACAGGAGAGGTAATGATGAGCTAGGGGCAGGGAGGGGGTGTCTTTCCCTCGGCTCATTGTTAACTCAGTGAAATAGAGTGGTCACTAGTGGAAAGTTCTGGAGTGTAGTGTCTATGCCCTACTCCTCTGCTTAGAGGTGACTACTTTGTAATTTCCTTCCAGGTTGGCTGGCTCCTCTAACTGATGGCATGTTGAAGTACATGGGCCAGCAGCATCGAGGGCATCTGATCCAGAGGGGGCCACTCTAGAGGCCAGGCCACCACCACCATGGGCCAGTGTGTCACCAAGTGCAAGAATCCTTCATCAACCTTGGGCAGCAAGAATGGAGACCGGGACCCCAGCAGCAAGTCACACAGCAGGCGGGGAGCTGGCCACCGTGAGGAACAGGTGCCACCTTGTGGCAAACCAGCTGGGGATATCCTTGTCAATGGGACCAAGAAAGCAGAGGCTGCCACTGAGGCATGCCAGCTGCCAACATCTTCTGGAGACGCTGGGAGGGAGTCCAAGACCAATGCTGAGGAGTCTTCCTTGCAGAGGTTGGAAGAACTGTTCAGGCGCTACAAGGACGAGCGGGAGGATGCAATCTTGGAGGAAGGCATGGAGCGCTTTTGCAATGACCTATGTGTTGATCCTACAGAATTTCGAGTGCTGCTCTTGGCCTGGAAATTCCAGGCTGCTACCATGTGCAAATTCACCAGGTTAGTCACAGATGCTTTCATGTCAGGTGAACAGAGGAGGAAAGAAAGTGACAGTGGGTAGTGGTACCAACTAGGACAGAACTTGGCTGGCTTCATGGGTTTGGAGCAAGTGGTCTCTCCCCCCTCTTTTTCTAAAGCTTAAGTGTTCTAAGTTGTAGTTCTGATCTACATGACTCCCTAGATTCTTCTAAGGAATTTTTTTTACCATGTTCCTGGTACTGTAGCAGAACTTTTGAGTAGATTTCTCAGTAGGTAAGACTCAGGGATTTGTCTCCATAAAGCTTTGTCTGATATGTGCTATCCTGTTTTCCTCACAGAATAAAGCGCTGCCTGGTTGATATGTCACAGTTGAATTTATCACAGCACTAAGAGGCAGCCTAACTGAGTACTGACCCTCTGCCTGAAGTTAAATAAGAACTAAGCAATGTAAACCCTATTGCTAACTAAGTTGCTGCTCAACACGACTGACAGCTGCTCAGAATTTGACCCTTAGTCAGTTGACTCATTCGATAATTTATCTGTAGTCTGCCAGGCACTTAAGTTTCCATAGAGTAAGTTTCTCTGAAGTTACACCTCTACAGCCAGACCTGTGTGCAGCAAGGACAGCTGGCCCCAGTTATCAAGCAAATTGTCATAGTAATGTATCCATATGGGGGTTGTTTGTATAAAAGGATATGGCAGGGTCATGGCAGACTATTTTTTGTGCTGTTATTATTGTTTTGTTTTTAAAGAAGGGTTCTCACTATATATAGCCCTAGTGGCCTGGAATGGGATATGTAGACCCAAGTGGCCTCAGACTCCAAGATCTGCCCTCTAAGAGTGCTGGGATTAAAGGTATAAGCCACCATACCTGCCCTGGCAGAACAGACTTCAAAACCCAGCTATCTGGCCTGCTCAGTAGATCAGATGTCTTCAGCAGCTTGTACAATCCCTGGGATGACAAGTGTGAAACCCTGTTGTAAACTGCAAAGTGCTGTATACATGTTAAAAAATATGTATGTGGCATTGTGGTGGTACATGCCTATAAACCTATCCCCCAAGAAGCTGAGGCACAGTAGAGAATTCAAGGCTAGTTTGGGCCAGAAAAGTGTGTCAGATCCCCCTGAAACTGGAGTTACCAGTGGTTGTGAGCTGCCATGTGGGCTAGAGAAATTGAACTCTTCTCTCTCTCCATCCATCCATCCATCCATCCATCCATCCATCCATCCATCCATCCAACTTTGAGGCAAAATCTATTATACAGGCTGGCTGGCTTAGAACTCAGGGATCCTCATGTCTCTGCCTTCCAAGGGCTAGTGGGTTAGTTGCTGTTACTGTGCTGTCTTGCCTCATCATACATGGCTTCGTTTTTTATTTATTAATTGTATTTTTTTCCTACCTGTCACAGGAAGGAGTTTTTTGATGGCTGTAAAGCAATAAGTGCAGACAGCATTGATGGGATCTGTGCACGGTTCCCTAGCCTCTTAATAGAAGCCAAACAAGAAGATAAATTCAAGGATCTCTACCGGTTTACATTTCAGTTTGGCCTGGACTCTGAAGAAGGGCAACGATCACTGCATCGTGAAATAGCCATTGCCCTGTGGAAACTAGTATTTACCCAGAACAATCCTCCTGTATTGGACCAATGGCTAAATTTCCTAACAGAGAACCCTTCGGGAATCAAGGGCATCTCCCGGGACACTTGGAACATGTTTCTTAACTTCACTCAGGTGATTGGCCCCGACCTCAGCAACTACAGTGAAGATGAGGCCTGGCCGAGTCTCTTTGATACCTTTGTGGAGTGGGAAATGGAGAGAAGGAAAAGAGAAGCAGAAGGGAGAGGTGCACTCAGCTCAGGGCCCGAGGGCTTGTGTCCAGAGGAGCAGCACTGAGGATCTGCCTGCTGCCCTGCAGCCAAGTGAGGAATTGGACCTTTCTGGAAATTACTGAAGATCCGGATATTTTCTACTTTACACCTTTCTCTGCCTTGTATTTGAAAGGGCTCTAAAATGCTGTATCATGTTTTAGGCACTTTCTTCATTTTTTTTTTTTTGGTTATTTTGGTTATTTCTTTTTTTTTGGGTGGGAAATCCCCCAAAATATTTGAACCTGGCTACATGTTGTGTACCTTTTATTTGAAGCCTTCAGATAGAATAAGCCTGCCATTTCTTGCACAAATTTATTAGATTTGTTTTGTTTTTGTGGGGGAGGGTTTAGGCCCAGGTGGGGATATGGGACTGTTAGGTTGAATTAACATTACAAAATGATACAGTGCCAGATCTCAGTTTTGCATATTATTTTTCAGGGCAGGTCTGTACTGTGTGTAGTGCTGTTTACATGGTTGAATTTAGGTTGTAATAATTATTTTAAAAAATTTACACAGATATGAATAGCAGTGTTAACTGTTAGCCACATTGCATTAATTTCCAGTTTGGAGCTCTTGGAGAGCCAGAGCCAAGGCCAGTCAAGAGCATTTGCAGTCTGACACACCACTCCATCCCTTTAAGCTAATTTATCCAAAGCCCTTACCTCCCTTACTTCTTGCTCATTCCTTCTTTGACCCATTGCATTTCATGTTTAATTTATCCATCACCATGCTGTCAGTCAAGTGAGCAGTTTTGTTTTGTTTTGTTAGAACACATTGTACTGAAAACCACTCCAGCGTTGAATGCAGAGAAAGCAGTGCTACCTCAGTTTTGCTGGAAGTAGACTTCTTTGATAGTTTTCTTTGATGTTTTTGTATTTTCATGTCATAAGTGGAAATACTTTGTTTTTTTTTGTTTTTGTTTTTTTTTTTTCATTTGCCTTGGAGCCAAAGTTTCTGTTCCAGATGGTAAGAAAACTGTGCCTGCCGGCCAGCTGACCTAAAAGAAAGCTATGGCATGGAACTCTGCTTCAAACTGTTTTCTTTAGTTTTTGTTGAGTATCATCAGCTTACTTGTCTGGCAAGTGCAGAAGCCTGAGACTGGCCTGAACTCTGCCAAACAAATTATCCAAGTGTATTGAATCATTAAATGTGTATCCTCTCCCTCTTTGCTGCGCCCACGTTGTCACTTAACCCCTAGGAGTTATTTATTATCTTTTTGTTAATGTCAAGCTCATTTGGGGTAATGTGATGACTGTTTAGGTTTACATGACCCTCTTCTCCTTCCCTTACCCCCAGATATGTATATATACATATATAAGATATGTATATATTTTACCTTTATAAAATATATATATACACATATATGTATCTATATTCCTTTATTTGTCTGCTAAAACTGGCCATAAAAGAGGGAGCTGCCTTTGATCTGTAGTTTAAGAAGATGCCAGGGAGCGTCATAAATGGAGGCTATTGTATTATGAATTTGGACATTTTCACTAAAGCAAACTTGAATGAATTTGCTCGCAGGAAGGAGGAACCAGTTCTCTATAACTCCACATGTTCACTCCGCAAGGCCAGCTTTGGTCAAGCTGCCACCAGGGCCTGAGAAGCTGACTCTGTCCTACCTAGTTCTACTAGAGGACCCTCTTGATAATTTCCCATTAAAAAATATCCTCAAAAAGTTGTACTGGAAAGTGGGTGCCAGGAGCTTGTACAGTTCAGCTTCCAACACTTCGGAACAGATTTAAAAGGGAATCCTTTAATAAAAGTTACAAAACTATTTATACTCTTGATACAATGAAAAGTGTCTATTAAATACTTGGAATTTTATTCCTTGATTAGTCTACCCCAAATCCTGGGTATATGTTTCTCACCATGGGAAAGAGTTGCATGCTTGAGTTCTTTATGAGTCTTACAGCTCTGGGCTCCTATCTTTATAAAGATGGTATTTAAGGAGATGACAGTCTTATTTCCTAAAATTGGTATTGACACAGGACACATTTTTGTAGGCCTGACAATTGTCCTTTCTAAAGAGACAGATAGTGCTGTAAGGCTGAAGAGGCTGTTGGGTCAGATGTGCCCCTTTCTTCTGCCATAGTAAGACAATCCTTGAGTGAGTGTCCAGGGGCCCAGCAGTTTCTGAGGGCACAACTGCACTGCAGCCTTTGGAGAAGATCTCACCCAGCCAGTTGTTCCTAATTCCGGATTAGGTAGACGTCCAATGAGGGAAGAAGTGGTGGAGTGTTTTAGGTAAGACTTTCTGTTCCAGATAAGAAAGGGTGTATGTTGCCAGGAAGTGCCAAGAAAGGGAGGCCATAAAGGGTTCCATGGACTGGAGGAACTAGATTCTTTCTCCACTGGTAGATTTTAACCAATTGCTCAGTTTCTCCAACCCCAGTCATTCAGAAATTATTTGTAATTATATTTTAATGGTCTGTTGTTGTTTTACCAAGAGATTTACAGCAAGATGTAAGGTTCGTAGTTAACACTTCTGAGAAACAAAAGCCTCTGCTTTGCTCAATCTCAGATAGGCTTGCTCCAGCAGTGACTGGAAGCCAAATGTTTGCCCCTCAGGTAAGCCAGCTTTGTGACACTGGGGTGATGTGGGGAGGTGTGATATATGGGTGCCATTTTGGAATTCTGCAACATCTAAGCATTACTACACAGAATCTGTTGGAAAATTGCTTACTTTTGGCAACTGTCTTTTTGAGTTTCCATGGTATTTCTTTAGTAATTTATTAGTGAGCTAGTATAAGATAAAGGGTTGCTTTATTGAATTCTTTCCCCTAGCCTTGCCAAACTTGAATGTATTATTCTTAATGACACTTTGCTGTACTACTAGGGGTTGTCTCAGCAGCTCTCTCGACTGTGGCAGATGTGCCAACGTGTGTGTTAGGTCCAAAAGTCTGTATGTACCCATCTGATAAAAAATCTACAGAGCTAGCTGAAAATTCCAATATCAGCCAAAGCTTTGGGCTAAGGGAAAGATAATAGAGAATGTGCAAAGCAGTATTATTCATATTGGATGGGCAAAGTAAAGAGTTAAGCTGCACACAGTATTACCTTGAAACAGTACTGTCTCCTAGGGCCTGGTCTTTAGGCCAGATCAGGTTATGGAACCCCACAGATTATGTACTTGGACCATTGGTGGGAAGTTGCTGAGATAAAGACTACTCCAAACATTAAAAAGCAAAAGATCTATATATTGAGATGTATGGTTTGCTGTATGGTTTGCTATATTTCAAGTGGGGTCTTCAGTGCAGCAGGTAGACCCAGTTATACAGTTGGGACAGAAAGAAAGCTACTGCTGAGAAGTTCCCTGCCCCCCTTTTCTTTAGACTTATTCTTCCATGTATGTTAGGGTGACTAGTAATGACCCGAACATCTTGAAAACTGACCAAGGTCTTACTTGGAGAACTCAAGCAGTATTTAACTTAAATATTTGAAATGATAAAATTATCAAAATATGTCAATTAGGGCTTTTTAAGGACATGTGACATTGATCCTCCCTGTGGCTCATGTAAAGGGAGTACATTCCTATGCTAAGCTGTAATAGCAGCCCATACCAGTTGGCCCAGGACTACATGCTGGGGATGCTTACCAGCCCCCCACCCTTTAAAAGAATAAAGTTTGAGCATTGGGTGCAGATGCTGAAATGGTTTGGTTAGCTGAGTAATCAAGTTCTGATTCTAGTGTTGGATTGGTGTGTTCTGTTTCTCTTAGTAGATACCTACTTACATCACATATCTTGAGCATTGCCAAAAGAAGCCATTCAGCAGCTGCTGATTTTCTCTCAGCACAGATATAACAAATATATTTGCTATGGAACAAGTATCTTTTCTCTAATGCTGGCCCCCAGTCCTCAGAATCTGATTAACTGTTCTTCCTTGCTGCACTGAGTATGGTTCTAGATTTCAAAGAGGGAATTTGAAGCAATAGGTAAACAGGGCTTGGTTGAATTGGTCTCACATATATCCTGTCTTAAGCCGCTGAGGTGATGAGTCTACTGCTCATGTGACCCTCCTCCTTTGTGGATCCCTCTTGGTTTGTGACCAGCATACGTTTCTTGAGGTTGTACAAACTTGACAAAAGTTAATACTTTTGTATTCTCTGCACTGTTGCACTCTTCAAATAGCCCCTTGAATATTAACTTGATATATACATTTTTGTCTTTGTCTACAGTATTTTTTTGTTTCTGTTGTTTTTTAATTTGAAGGTTATCTGCTGTTGGATTCAATAAATTTGTTTACCTGACTATTGATATTTCTGCAGAAAACAAAAAAAAAAACTGAATTTATTCTGAGGCATAAGTTATCCACTTTTCCAATGATGCTGTTATATTAACAGCTTAGGAAAATGACTCATGTAGGATAGGAGCTCAGTTCCAAACACAAATGATGACCTCCATGCACTGTGAATGCTTATATGCCCACTACTGAAATGCTTTTCTTAAGTAACTCAATTCCCATGAGAAAAGCCAATCTTGAGCCCTGTGTTAAATGTATGGCCCCATGGGTCTCATCAGGCTTGTAGTGATTGAGTTTACCTTTTATTCATCTGCAAAATAAAGTTTTCTCCATCAGTATTAGAATTTAAGAAAAATTTGTGAAATATCCATGATACCTCATAGTGCTCAACCATTCCTCTTAGGATTTTCCAAAAAATATTAGGTACATTGGGGATGGTGGCAGAGTTTAGTGTATGGCATGACTTTTGATCTTTCATCACTCATTGCTCCCTGAAAGGGCTCAACTTTCTATTGTGCCAGATTGGGAGAGGAAGTTAACATGAATAAATGACCCAGAGATTGATATTGAGGTTCAGACTTCAAGCTGAAGTTTATAAAAGCAAACTAGCCGGCCACTAGCTAGTATCACTACCTCACGCTGAATAGACCTGTTTCCATGAGCTCTCTCCAAGCCTCAGACTGTAAACTCTCCTCATCATGGCTGGAGAATGAATGCCTCCTACTCAGTGCTGAAGACCCTGCTTCTTTCTTTCCTACCTCTCTATTTCTGGGATTAAAGGTGTGTGATCTGTTACTCTTTCAGACTGATTCAATCTCATGTATCCCTGGGTGTCCTTGAACTCAGAGAGATCCATCTACCTTTTAATCCTGAGTCCTAGGATTAAAGGTATATATATCACCACAGAGGAAAAAATTAACAGGAACTCTGAAGTAGCCATTTACTTCTTAAGTTCTAGACTTAAGACCCTCAGTTCCTTTCTTGTATTTTCTGGTTATTGTCTGTTTAAGAATATCACTGACAGCCGGGCGTTGGTGATGCACGCCTTTAATCCCAGCACTCGGGAGGCAGCGACAGGCAGATCACTGCGAGACCAGCCTGGTGTACCGAGTGAGTTCCAGGACAGGCTCCAAAACAATATAGAGAAACCCTGTCTCGAAAAACCAAAAAAAAGAATATCACTGACATGCCAGGCGGTGCTGGTGCACACCTTTAATCCCAGTACTCGAGAGGCTGAGGCAGGGGGATCTTTGTGATATTTGCTTTGTCTACAAGAGCTAGTTCCAGGACAGCCTCCAAAACCACAAAGAAACCCTGTCTCGAAAAACAAACAAAAAAAAGAATAGCACTGACCACCCAGCTATCTTGCTCATTTCTCTGATGGAAGTGCTGATGGTTCCTCAAAGGTTCCTAGCCTCTTGGTATCACCTAAGATGTGCAGGATGGGAATCAGAGAAGCATTTATAGTTGGAAAGGGCATAGTAAGCTCGATATTTCCTAAAATACGTGTATTTTACCCTTGCTTCACATTCCTCCCATTGACTCCTGGGTTTGTTGCTTCTGTGCTTTGTTCCCTTTATTCCCTTTATTAAGCACAGATTGGAGAGTAGCAGAATAGAATGGAAGATAGCCAGTTTGGGTGTGGTTAAGAGTGCTGAACGGATTACAAGCAGATAAAATCCTATTTTCAATTAAATGATTGGTACCAGAGTAGTTCTTATACAGTTATCAGATGAGAATAATTGCACATGGAATGGACTTTTACCAAGAAAGTATGCCAAAAAGTAGTTCAGAGAGATAAGAATCTCTTCAGTTCTTGTCTCTCCTATGAAGTTCTCAAAGCAGATAGCTGTGTTGGCTCTGAAAGTTATCTCTCTAGCCCTGGGTTTTGACCCAAATTATAAAAGAAGCAAAGGTACATAATTGGGTAAATTTACATATGAGAGAAAGGTATTGTATACTAAGGTGTCAGGAAGTATAGAGGTCAAATCCAACATTGATTGTTGGATTAATCCAGACTTTAAATTACAAAATTTCCATGCCTTAAAAAGCAAACTAGAAAGCAATTTTGAGACTGATAGAATGATACCATATCTAATCCACAAGAAGCTCTTAAAAAGTCAACATGCAAAAGTAGTTGGCTTCCCAACAGTACAGGCAACAGATATACACAACCCATTGAAGAAAATCTGGCCAAAAAGCTTTTGAGTAAGTTGATACCAGTCTAAATGTACTCAAGAAAATAGTAATTAAACATAAAAACTATCCCTTAATATAGCACACTGGCAATAATTTGAGACAAACTATGCTGGTAAAGAGTAAAATCTTTCTGTAGTTAAAGAATTTTAAGTATCAATGTGTATTAATACAGTAACTTTTCTTAGAAAGACACCTGATAAGTATATATGTGCAAGAATGTAACCTGCAGCTTCAGAGTCAACAAAGTAGTGTTTTAGAAATTATGAGTTATGATACCACAATATTAATGCAGCTATTTAAAAAATCTGAATGACAAAAAGAAATCTAAGCTTGTAAAATATTGGCAGTCATTACTTCTGGGTGGTTGGATATAACCTTAATTTTTCAAACTTATACTGATTTCCCTATTTTATTAGAGGTCATTTGCAGAGGTTCAAGGAAATAGAAACAAATCTTAGTGTTCTGAGCACTCAACCCCAATATAGGCACAGAAATTGAAAACCCAAATCAAGAGTTCTGTTAAAAACCTCCAGTTCCCTTTTCCCTTGGGGTTGCCTTTTCCCTAAGACTGCTCCTCAGGCAGCTGCCTTGGCAGCTCAGCATCGGCTGCCTAGAAGGGTGTGGAAGGAACAATGCACAAACACACTTATGAATGGAATGTGTGTTTTGCAAGAGGCCAAGTTGGCAGCTTTGGTTTCCAAAAGGTGGGAGCATCAGCTGGAAGAACACAGTGTGCAAAAAGTCTCAGACTTGAAAGCTAAGTCCATTTCTTCAGTTCTGCAGTTGTGGCCCACAGGGAATCCCTCATCCATGCTGAAGGAAATAGCCTTGCCCAATTCAGAAAGCCTCAATAGCTTCTTGCAACACTTTGCAAAGACCCCTAATGCTTGCCACTTATTGAGCACTATTCATGCTGGACTTTTGCTAATTTAATCTTCCTAACAACCAAGAAGTGGGTACTGATTTCCCCATTTTAAACACAGTCTCAGGAAAATAGTTCACAGTTTTTGACATTTTCCACAAGCAAGTCTCAAAATTTTTAGAAGTAGGTTTTTCCTCATCTTACACAGCTGTGAAAACGGACTCAGAATGACCCAAACCCCAGCAACAGAGGTGAAGTTCTACCCGAGGCACTGTCGTAAAAAAGTAGATATCAGTTGAGCCCCACTGCTTTAGACCTCAGACGGAAAGGAAGCTCAAGTTGGCACAACATAAGTTTCCTCCTGACAGAGGGACTTCAGGAAGCAGCGTGTTGATCTAAAATCAAACCCTGGTGTCTGGTTCCACTTATGGTCCAATCTTACCGAGGCTTGCTTCATTTAAGGGTTAAACACCTCCCTAAGTGCCCAACCCTAAATGTTCAGAATTACTTCTTTGCTAACTACAAAAGTAATGATGCTGAACTTTTTACTTACTATTTTTTTGAAACAGGGTCTCATTATGTAGCCTTGGGTGGCCTGGAAGTCACTGTGTAGACTGGCCTGGCTTTCAAAGTCAGATCTACCTGGCTCTGCCTCCAGAGTGGATGCACCAACAAGCCTGCCTAGTTTGTTTGTTGTTGTTTTTTAAACAGATCCTTATATCAAAACATTTTGTAAAACATGATTTGCCAGTCCTGCTAATCAGAGAGAAATACTGTTAACATTTTGGCACACAGCATTCCAGGCTTAGTTCCAATCCCATGCATAGCTTTGTACATTTTCCCTACACAACAGGAATCAAAACTATAATACTGTTTGATAACCCTACAGAAACACACATGCACATGCAGTGGCAGATGACTTTGATATGGAAGGCAGAGGCAGGTGGATCTCTTAGTGTTCCAGGACAGCTAGGACTGCATAATGAGGCCCTGTCTCAAAAAACCAAATAATAATTTTATGAGATACTAGTAATCTCTGTGCCTGGAGTAACAGTATTCAATTTAAGTTGAGCAATCCAGTAATTTTAAAAAGCTGGGGCCGGGCGGTGGTGGCGCACGCCTTTAATCCCAGCACTCGGGAGGCAGAGGCAGGCGGATCGCTGTGAGTTCGAGACCAGCCTGGACTACCAAGCGAGTTCCTGGACAGCCTCCAAAGCCACAGAGAAACCCTGTCTCGAAAAACCAAAAAAAAATAAATAAATAAAAAAATAAAAAAATAAAAAATAAAAAAAATAAAAAGCTGGGATTAGAAGAGGTGCATGTACACAGCACACTTCTTCCTTTGTAATAACCCTGTGGCATCTACTTTGCACTTTTTTGTACAAGCATCTTACTATTTTCAGTTCTTCTGGTTGAACTGTAGGATCTGAGTGTAGAAAGCAGGGTGTGACTGACAGATTAGTTCACTTTCTCTGGAGCATTTCATATTTTACTAGATTTGCAATTGTTGACCTGTGTCACATATTTCCAAAAGTATTACTAGTTAGTCACCTTAAAACTTAACACTTTTTCTGAGTTTTCAAGTTTCTAGTTTCCAAGTGATGCCCTGGTGTGATGGGGCCACCTGCTGGTGAAGGGTGATGCTGCAGCTGTATCCCAAAAAGGAGGGATACCCAAACATGGAAGTGTGTTTGAACTACAAAGCTAACAGTTTCTCACTATCTTTGCTCTTGCCAGATGTTTACTTTGGCCTATCTCCCCGCCCCTTTAACTTTATAACAGATGCTAAAGAGTAAACAGGTTAGCCAGTTACTTACAGAAATTTGACAAACTGACTGGATTTTCTTCTCTTGGTTTTTGTAATCTCTGCCATTTAATGGTAGTGCTACAGCAATCAATCAATACCTGTGTAAATAAACTCAGACACAAAACACTCAACCCCCCAT